CACCCTGAGCTATTATTACTACATCCATAAGTTATATAACCGGCAGCAGAACTCATCATCGTATTCCATCATGACTACATCACCCTGAGCTATTATTACTACATCTATAACAGATATACAACTCGTTACAGAAGTCATCATCTTATTCCATCATCATTACCACACCCTGAGCTATTATTACTACATCTATAACAGATATACAACTCGTTACAGAAGTCATCATCCTATTCCATCATCATTACCACACCCTGTGCTATCATTATTACATCTATAACAGATAAAGAAGTCATAACCACAATCCTTGTCATTTTTTTGTACCATACAACGTCATTATCTTCATCACTCCTAATCACATTACAACTATCACAGATGTTGACCTCCCAATCGTCGCCTCTTCCTATGTCATCCCATCCCGACCTCTCATACATTACTTCATATCTCCACCATTCTTCTTCTCCCCCTTCTCTTCTATTCATACCTCTTCTCAGCTGGCTCGTTCTCCTTACTCCACTGCGCCTTTTTCTTCATTAGAAACTCACGCCACCTGGTGAGAGAATCGTCGATCGTGTCGTAGTTGAGTCCGCCCAGCATCAGTACTGGATCACGCTCAGACAGCACGTGCAGGAGAATGCCAGTATCCTTACTCATCTTCTCAGTCACTGCCTCCATTACCTTAGCAACAGCAAAACACACGAGTAACGTCACGGTTACTGAGTAACGCATCTTTATTCATCTTCTCAGTCACAGCCTCTGCCACCTTAGCAACAACAAAACACACAAGTAACGTCACAGTTACTGAGTAACGCATCCTTATTCATCTTCTCACTCACCGCCTGTTACTTTAGCAACAACAAAACCCCGGAGTAACGTCACAGTAGCACGATTGTGTGTAAACTATTCCTTTGTTACAGTGTAAATGGCTTAACAACTCTCACTGCACTAAACTATCAACATAACAACTTGGCAAACAGCTTTGACTACTACTGCTTCCATCACTACTGCCACCTCTACTACTTCTCCTTTCCCTCCTTGACTTCTTATCAGCTCAATGAAAGAAAAAGGCAGCAGCAGCCGTATGTGACACTGAGCCTCACCTTGCCGTGTGTGTGGGAGACACCTAGCATGCTGGTTTCAACGTCTAGCAGCTTAAACCCCACATCAGCGCGCGTGAGGGGTGTGGTGGCCCCAAGCTCTCCCACGCTAGCGGACCCCAGGCTAACACCTGCTGTAGGCTGCGACTTAGCCACAGGGTTGTGAGTTATTCTCCAGAGACAGGCCACGACCACTTCTTCATACTAGAACAAAATTGTCATAATTACAAGATTACTGCATAAGCTCTGCTAAAAAGAAGAAAAGAAAGAAGAAGAAGAAGAAGAAGAAGACAAAACAGAAACAGAACAAGAGAAAAAGGAAGAGGAAAAATAAAAAGAAGATGAAAAAGAACAAGAAGAACAAGAAGAAGAAGAGGAAGACGGAACAGAAAGGAATAAAAACCTTCCAACATGCCATTTCAGAGTAAACATAACCATACTAGAGGAGTCGCTGCAAGTTACAGTCAGGATACTATGCAAGACAGTGATATAGGGATCACATTGTATCAGGGAGTCGCTGCAAGTTACAGTCAGGATACTATGCAAGACAGTGATATAGGGATCACATTGTATCAGGAGTCAGATAAAGACTTATCCCTCACGATCCTACTCCTGATCGTATGTACACCAGCTACAGGCATGTGCGCACATTACCAGCGGGTTATGTAGAATCAGCAGGTCCAGTATGTCCTTGCATCGCGGCTCACTGATGATTGATCGCAGTATGAACTCCTGCAGACCGAGGGGATGGGAGGGGTGGAGCAGCCCCACCCACAGCCTGGCCAGGTCCTTCTGCATGAGGTAACAGACGTGCGATTCGTCAGACAACTCACTCAGTTCCATCATAGCAACCCTACGGTAATTATTGTACAACCGTAACCATGGTAATTTGTAAATAAGAGTTATCAGTTATATGGTATATAAGCTACCTCATAAAACAAGTGCCGCAGAGCTGACGGCAGGTTGTTTCTGAGTGCTCAACTCACCTGGCAAACGAATCGAAGAGCACCCTCCATCACCCACCCCGCGTTCGCCCGCTCAGAGCATATATCCTAGGATAGGACTACTATACCCAGATCTTAAAATCATGATAGCGTAGGCTTGCAGACAGGTAGTACAGGTATACCAGATACAGCTGTGGTA